TGCCTAATTGCAAAGGATCCAATATTTTTAACGTCTTAGCTAAGGCCATTGTTGTAATAGCTTAAACTGAGTGCGAATCCTTTTGTATAAATCAAAGCCCAGATACTACTTTGTCAAAACACATCTCACCAACTCATCCGTGCTAGATTTGCCAATTCACTTCACTATGTGCTTGCCAAAGCACTAGACAATCTTTGTGCAAGACCTTGTATTCCGAACGAAATTGCTTATACCCACAAAAATTGAAACTACATTAACTCATCAAAGTAAGTACAAATTAAGAGATTCACAGAAACTGAAAAATTAAATAGTCAGCTCTTATTTGCTGCGAACGCAATGACAACAATTGATTAAGTATCTGAAAAAGCAGTTAACAATCTATGGCGCCCCTTAAAAAACCAACCTAATCATAACCGCCAATGACCTATACCACAGCACTCTTTGACAGACCTTCGCTTCTCAGCATCAATAATGGACTCACTAATGTTACTGCATTTTCAAGCTTCCCTTTAGCATTCACAACCACATAATCAAAATTCTTAAGATGCTTCACTTCCTCCCTAGCCGTAGCAATCCTCACAAGCAGCGACTCTAAAGTTTCAGTCTTTCTATCAACCAGTCTTTCCACCATTGCCATTTCACTCTCAGCCACAAGGAAAATGAAAACTGCCGAATTACCAAGAATTTTCTCAATGTTTGAGCCCCTTGAATATCCACCCTCAAAACAATATCATACCCTTACCCATGTATTCCCGAATTTGCTGTTTTGGAATGCCTTTATAATCTCCATACACAAGCGCGTACTCCAGAAGCTCGTCCCTCTTAACCATGGATTCAAATTCCTCTTTACTCACAAAGAAATAATCTTTTCCCATCAACTTCACCCGGTCGTTTCGCTCGACTCGTTGCAGTGACCACAAAATGAAGACCCTCCCGAGTTTCCCTAAGTTTCTTGATCACTGCGTCCTTTCCAACACCACTTGGCCCGCTAATTACTATTATCAATGGCTTTGGATTTGGGATCAGAGGCTCTGAGCTGAACGACGAACCCAGCGATGTTTCGAGAGCACGAAGTAGCTCAGACTTATTGGCCTCGTTGACGGCAGTAATGGGAACCGAGAACGGCCGCCGGGAATCACTCATCGGGAATAGGAAGAAGATAATCGCGGGAAGGGTCTGATATTCTGAGATCTCGCGACGAAGCAAGATTCAGTGACCAAATTAGGAATGAGATCGGCGGGAATGAAGGCTTTCTGAAAGTTTGAGTGGGAAATTGGAAGAAAGTGACGATGGTGAAGATTGGATTGGGCCGCAGCACAGAAGAGCTTACGAAACATGGGGTAGAGATAGAAATAGTCGGTGCAAGAAGAAAAGCAAGCAGAGGATCGAATTTTTTGGCTATAATGGACACAACAAGTCTGAAGCTCACACCTTAAGAAGCGTATTACTTAACAATATAATATAATCTACTCCTCCGATCCTTATTATAAGACTCAATTTAACTTTTTATTTGGTTCTAATTATAGACCCAATCCATTTCTCTCTTATATTTATGCATTTTTTTCTAAAATAATCCTTCTAATAATGATAGTTTTAGCCAATACACTTAATAGCAAGGATATTTAGGAATAACAACACTTATTTATTCAACTACTTCCTTAATCTCCTCAAATAAGTCAATTGGGTCTTATAATTAGGACCGGAGGAGTATTACTATAAAACCTGGACTTACTATGTGACGTACACAACTGGCTCAGTTATAAACTTATAATTCACAATCATTCTTAGTTTTTAATGATTAGTTTAACTTAATTGGAAGATAATGGCTACTTGTTATTGTGAGAAGTAGTATTCAAGTATTCAACGGGATAGCGACATTTCTCTTATTAAATAACCAATTCCATATTAGAATATTCCCCTTCTCAAAAATTCATTAGAATAATGCTATCTTTTCGTGTTCCAAGTATAAAAACTAATTACAGAGATTGAAAAAAAAAAATCTATTCACATTAGTTATTTATAATGATATATATTTTTGTATTAGAAACTTTTCTCCTTAGAATAATCCCCTATAGTATGTGTGATAAATAGGATTGCTTAGGAAAATAATTATAAATTCATGAGACAAAATCAACTAAAGCCTTGTCTCTAGAATCAATACAAACTTTTTAACTAATCCTTGTAGTTAGAACCAGAGGAAGTATACAGTAATATTATGCAAATTAGACACGTTACATTTCTGTATGTCCCTATTTATACTAATAAAGTAAGGCCAAAAAAGTATATTAGTAGAGAACCTCTGACTTATTTTCTTAACTGATTCCCAAGTACCCGTTAATCACATGGTGACAATAACATTTTAAGAAAGAACAATTGAAGATTGAAGGTATCAGAATAATGAAAAAGTAGAAGCAAGTATTCAAGTGAAACAACCTAGAATTTCCACGGGTCAAGTTTTGGTCTTGGTACCACCAAAGATAGTTCTGGATTCAAAATACAGTTGAAAGAGGACGAGATGATTATTTAGAATACAATACAGGCAGGTAGGTGGGTGAGAAAAATACACTTATCAGTGTGATGGCCCAAAATAAAATTAGGACAAAAGTAGACAGCTGTATTGTGGAATGCAGAGATCAGAACTATTTTGTTGCTACTAGTCTTTCCTGTTTCATGCTATAAGTGAATCAGAGTGACAGAAAATTACAAAGATGTAACTAAACTTCAGCCAGAGGCTTCTTCAACTTCATTCTCAAGTTTTTACCTTGAGTCTTTCCAGATGAAGGTTATGCCACCAGTTAAGATTCAGATTATCGTCCTGAGGTTAGGCGGAAACAAACCCAGATGCAAGATCTGTAAGGCTCAGTGGCAGATGTTACCCAAGTTTTGGTATGTAAAACAATAGTTCAATACCAATGACTTGAAGCTCCACCTTGAGCGGCAGCAACTTTTCTAGGCATATATTGAGGCTTTGGTTGCAAACCATTGGAACCTTCTATTCCATCATCTTCTGTCCTCTCATTTTTACAGGCTGGGTTTCTTCTGGGATATGAACAGCTTGAAGCAGCATATTGGGCTGAAACAGGTGGATTTCTAACCATCTGCCGCTGTTCAAAAACGTCTGCTGTTGCTGCTACCCCACAGTTGTAACGCAATACTGAACCAACTACTTTCCAGGCCTTGCACCTAAAGCAAGTGAGCAGTAAGTACCATCTCATATTCAAGCATGTAAACAAACGTTCTAATGAAAAAAGGGGCGCCAGTGCCCAAGGCTCCCACCAAGTGGGGTTTGAAAAATCGGTGTACACAGCTTTACCCCACAAACAAAAAGACTGTTTCTAGAATTTGAATCCGTGACCTTCATGTCACATGACAGCACAACCCGTAAACAAACATTTTGTGTCTTACAATATATTAAGGAGAGGGATGGGAAGTGGTAAGGAGGAATCGAGAGAGGAGGAGAAAAATCTATACTCGAGTAAGGTGTCATACCTTGCATATTTTGTGGAACCTGCGCAGGAAGCCGAGCCAAAGGGATGCCACCAGTCCTCTCCACGGGTGGCTTCTCAACTTCTTTGATGCAACATTTTGAGAGATCTTCTGCAACCTCGGCTGGACTTTGTGCTGAGTTATCTGAATATAATACACATGGCCTGCACATGCAATCTCAAATCAGAAGTCAGCAATTCCGGAGCAGATACATGGGCATGCTGACAAGAACAAAGGCCAGTGACCAAGAAGAAAGCTGCATTACCCAAAAACAATAACGGTAATTAAAAGGATACCTGGGCAATGATGCATGCTGCCTCTCAGGCGCAATAACAGTTCCACCCTTCCCATAATGCTCCTCTAGATAAGCAAATTGCTTCTTGAAGTGGTCGACGGCACTATTTAAAAGAGGAGGAGTTAGTTACCAGAGGAAAAGAGGGGCACAAAATGAAAGGCTGATAAGCTACATCAAATAGTGTGACAAACCGGACAAAATAGAGCACTATATATTACAGATGCTTAAGAATCAAAGGTTCACCAAAGCAATTCACAATAAAAATTTTATCCCAGAAAGCATTAAAAAGAAATGGATAATTCTAGATAGACTCTAACGCAATATTTCAACTTCAAGGTGAGCACCGATGGAGAATTAAAACTGCCAATCAAGTACCACATGGCTTCTGGTTAGCAATGAAAATGCTTTTCTTTTCTTAAATAAATGCTCATCTTAAGCACCAGAAAAAGATAAAGCAGAAAACCGGAAGTCATCCAATAACAAGCCAAAATAACAGACAAAGCCATTAAAGAATGCAGGAGATAATAAAATAAAAGCCCAAAAGAGTTCTTTCACATATATTGAGTTGCAACACAAAGGCCTCCAAATTTTTTTAACTTCTGGGTACAAATACTATATGAAAGAAATTCCTGTGTTGTATGATAAATTTAAGGAATGCAAAATGTACAGCCAAAAGAAAAGTACCTTGGATACATAAAACTGGTTGGCTCTGCTCCCTCTAGGTGCTCCTTCAACATCTTCGGATGGTATTCCAGAATTTCTCGATATATGAGCTCTCGTATGTCCTCCTTTGTTATCCTGCGTCTCTCGAATTCAAATTCCATCTTGCTAACTGGCTGTGCTGAAGGCTCTCTTTCAACCTTGGCCAAACCCTTAAAATATGGATCTGCCAGAGCCTAGCAATTTTCGAAAAAACAATATGCCCTGTTAGACCAAGACATAACAAAGAAAGTGAAGTGAAGATGCATGACAATTCAACCTCTTCAGCAGTAGGCCGGTCCTTAGGGTCAAATGCCAGCATTCTTTCCAACAAACGAAGAGCAAGCGGATCTGCATTAGGAAACTTTTGGGAGAAAGGAACTGGCTTCTTCTTTCGCATGCTGCTCAAATATCTCCGAGCTTTCTCGTTTCGTATCTGTATGCATATAATAACAGGGTTGCTGAAAGTCTATATCAATATATTATACTAAAACAGAATCACTGTTCACCCGTTATCTGGGTCTCATGGGCCTCTCCTGTTTTTTTCTCTCTCATAATTTTGTGCATTCAAATTTAAATCCCATACACATAACATGCTATTATATATGTTAATAAAATTAGTGTTTATTATTGGAAGTATTGTCAGTTTTATTTGTGCAACATTCTTTCCAAAATCAAAATTTTAACTTCCACATGCAATTGCATATATGGTACTGGTGGTAAGAAAACTTTAAAAAATATGCTAAAAAGATGGGTGAATGATTTACAGACCCTAGCAATGGCATCAGGAGATGGCGTTCCAAGAAGTTCAGTCATGAGGTCCAACTGATGGACAACATTCTTCCCCGGGAAAAGAGGTTTTCCAGTTAAAAGTTCTGCAAAAATGCAGCCAATGCTCCATATATCTATAGCTGGTGTGTACTGAAAAAACATGGAAAATTCATATTAAAAGAAAGAAAAAAAAAATCATATATACCATCTTGATTAAATGACTAAAAATTAAATAATCATGTACATATAGTGCATAAATAGAGAGGCTGTCTCACCCTAATACATGGTCAGACCTTCCACGGATTCAAGATAGATAAAAATAGTTAAAAGGTACAGTTTACCCAACCAGAGGCCACCCAAGTTGCCATTAAAGCTTTCACAAGGGGGTAAGTCCATATATTGAGAATAGACACTTAGAAATCACGGTCCAGATAATGTCACAGGTTCTTATCAGCATTCCAAAAAGAGAAGAGAGCTAGACAATTTGTTAACAAATATTTCTTTAGTAATTTTAGTAGAAGATTCATAGAGAATAGTAGATTTCCCCAAGCACACAATTATTTTAAAAAATATATAAGAGTTCAAGAGGTCCCTAGCATGTGTAATTGAAGGAAAGAAACAGGATTAAGGGGGAAGGGAAAGGGACCTGCCGTAATTCAAAGTCCAAGCAGGAGTAGGGATTGAATAAAGAAATCAAGGGTCCAAAATAAATATGTAACAGATATTGCACCAGAGCACCTTGGAGAAAAAGGATCCACACAGCTCAGGAGCCCTATACCACCTTGTTGCAACATAATCCTGTGAGTAGTCAAACGGAAATAAGCATGATGAAAAACGACAACACTGCATGTTCAAGGCTCTATAGTCTCAGGAAAAAGAGATTCTTACCGTCCAGAATATGGCAGTGGGTGTGTCATTAAATGCTACTCTGGCAAGACCAAAGTCACAGATCTTGAGTTTGCAGTCAGCATTTGCTAAGATGTTTTTTGGTTTTAGGTCACGGTGAAAAACATTTGCTGGGACCATTCAGAAGTTCAGTATCATCCCAAATTAAAATCAGCAACTAGTTTGTTATAATCAAAACCTAAATGGTTAATAGAAGTAAAGATTGCTAGAGCAAGCTATCCATGAAAAAGATTCTGATTATATAAAGATTATAACCTGTGTGTATGTACTTCAAGCCTCGAAGAAGCTGATAAAGAAAGAACTGATAGTGCTCTGGAGTCAGATCATCATTTGCTTTGATGACCTGATGTAAATCGGATTCCATGAGTTCAAACACGACATATATATCTTTAAATTCTCTCCTGGAAGGTGGTAACAAGATATGTTTGATCTCCACAATATCAGGGTGACGCAAGAGTCTAAGAAGCTTAATCTCACGAAGAATACGAGTAGCATCAGAGACATGTTCAAATATGTCATTAATTTTCTTTATTGCAACCTTTTCTCCAGTGTGTGTATCTGACGCGGAGCAAACTACACCATAGCTTCCTTTACCAATTACTTCTTCTATTCTGTATCTGCTCCCTTCACCATATTCTGTGAAGAAGTTCACATCCACAGATGACTGCATAAACACAGTTAATAAACAATTCAGCAGAAAGTAATTAAAGTCAAATCAATGCACGTGGCCTAAATTATTTGAAACATGCATTTCTGCATTGAGGGGAAAGATGGTGTACATATATTAAACCAGAAAAGAACAAGCTATTCGTCCAAGTTCTGCATCCATTGGTGAAAAAATAATACTGAAATATGCCCCCAAGTTTTGGAGTATTGAGCATCACCGGATGGTTTACCCTCTCTCTGTTTTTTCTTTCTTTGGTCAAGAGATGGTCTAATTAATCGCCAAGAACATATATGAGCTTATCATCTCTAATAGTAAAGAGATTTTCTTTTCTTCAGGAACAAAATCCTATAGCGAAACTTGCTTCAATATTGTTAAACTTAAAAAGGATAATGGGAATTTGAAGCATATAACATGAGCGCAAAAGAAGAAAAGCCAATATAAATCGATTGCAATGGCCAGTAGATACAACAGGATCTGCAAGAGGAGAAGAAATGTCCTAAATGATGCGAAATGCTCAGCTAGGTCTCATACAAACCAGAACTAGACAAGTTAGCACCGCGGTGAAGCATAGACATTTGCCTGATAAATCATTCATCCCAAACAAGACATAGATCAAATATGCATTCAAGCACAATACCCGAAAGAAAAAAGGTAAGAGGAATAGGGCAACTTCATAACGAATGACACAGAATAAATAAGATCACAACTATGTGACCAGTGGGTACAAGTTGTGTGCAGTCACAGAGATGCAGAAAACAACAAAACAACGACCATTCATTGTCTCAATAAGCATCTAATTTCTCCCCCAAAGTGAATTACCACAGATAATTTATAGCTACACATATATCAGAAGAGAAGCTTTACCTTTTTTCTTTGATCAGGCAGCATCTAGGCAACTTGGCATAAAACCCGTCAATGATTTAGGCCAATAGGTGCATCAAACAGCCCCTTCTCTCAACTCAAATCTAGATCCCCCAACTCCTACGACCAAGTTCAAAACCCAGAAAAGCGAAAACTTCAAAAGGAAAAACGATTAACTGGTATTATGACGCTTAGGCACGCGGTGATCAAAGTGCAAGTTTAAAACCAAATAAAAAGTTAGAAACCTTCGACATAAAAGAACAAAGAACAAAGCTCAAAACGGAAAGAGACGCGGTTCAGCTTGGCAGCTACAGTAGCATCTAGGATTGAAAGTAAGGGGTCATAAAAGAAAAGACAAAGGGTTCAAATTAAGGATCAAATGCTCTGATAGTTCTATATTTAAATCAAAAAAGGGGGAGACTTTATCAAACACAACATAATCAAGACAAGCTGGCGGAAGTAACAAAATGCAGCTGGTAACTTCCAGGTTACAGATCACGTAAGAAAATGCGCTCTGGTATGTTACCGAGCTAGCATAAGCGGAAAAAACTAATCTTGGGAGGATCTGCTATGGCGATAATCTCAAAAGCGGCAAAAGGAAGTGAATATAATATATGCAGACGGAAAAGGGAAATGCTCCGGCTTTCAGAGCATAATAAGATTCTTTTGTTGTGTGTGAAGAAGGTAGGAATCGAAGAAGAAGACTATGCAGATTTCAACGGAAATATTTCCAAGTAAGAAATCAGCTTCCCACAGAGGCCTTGTACTTCAAGTTGAAGGCTTTGTGGCGTAGAACTCCGAAACGTGACAGGGTGCGAATGAAAATGATCATTAATTCGAAAAATTGTGATTTTAAAATAACGATATTATGTTTGGAAGCAGAGAAAGGAAAAGGGGTTATCAGTGTTTAATATTTTATTACATTTTTATTTTTATTTTGTTCTGATGCAAGAATATGACAACTACATGCTTTTCAAATAATGTTTCAGTTTTATTTATTATTAAATTCCCTATTTTTATTTATCACTCTTTTCACTTTTTATTTTTATTTTTTTCATTTTAGACAATTTTAAGATCTTTTCTCTTTCATGATATCGGCGCTAATAAAAATTTTATAATTTAAAACTCAAATATGTTATCACTCTACTAATTATTGTAATTTTTATCAATTTAATTACCATAATGACCAGTAATAAGTCATACTTCTGGATTTAGCAGCATCATAATTAAACTATCCATGAAGTTCATAGAAAATGAAAATTCGTTTTCTTTTTAAGAATGACAATTTTATTTTCTTCTAAACACATGGGATTGTTTATCTCTTTGAATAAAAATTATTAAAAGAAATTCTCACCATTAATTAATGCCACAAGAGCATGTGCGTCACATGGGCTGAAGAGTTCTCTAGCTGGGAAACGGTGGTATTAGTTAATTGGTTATTAATTAAATAAAAGGAATCTCCAATCCAATATCATCTTTTTCAGCCACATACTTTGTCGCAGAATAATAATATTTATTTAATTAAAAATAATCTCTGGTTTTTTCTGCATTGGAAATTTCTCCTGTTTTTTTATTTAAGCAGAAGTTGGTCACAATACTTTTTTTTTTCTAGATATAAAGAAGAAAATACTTTTGAAACAGATATGAAATTGATTATACCAACGCACAGTTGAAGTTCTTTGAAAAGTTATATGTTTTTCTGCTGTCCAGGGAACAGGCAATAATTTGAGACCAAATGGAGCTTACATGAAAGAAATTTTTTTAAAATTCTAGAGAAAATAGATGAAAAGTCTTTATTTAAAAATTTTATTGGTCAAATGAACCTGAATTCCAGTACAAAGTCAAATACTTTATATGTATGAAATCATATAAAATACCAATATTTTTTTATGTATAAAAACATATTAGGTCTTTCTAACCAATAAAACTTCCTAAACAAGAACTTTTCACCATTTTGCTATAGTTTTGAGAAATGGAATTGATTTGTTGTGTGAAAATGAGAGAGAAGGTTATCAAATAGGAAAAGTAAAAAAGACAGGAAAGAAGAGACATACTGGGTTCAAATTAGTTGAAACAGAGAATAATTTTCAAAGAGTAAGACTTCAATTTAAATTAACTAAACAAGAAGATAAAGTTGTGGAAAGTGGAACCAGGCAATTAATTTTTCTGTCTGGTGGGGATAATGACACCCACAATGCTTCAAAGTCCTTAACAACCGTCTCCCACATGCCCCCTTCCACTATTAAAAGAAGACTAAAAGAAACTCTACTAAAATATTTTTTCTTTTACTTCCCAAATTGCAGGAGATATCAAAATTCTCAACTTTAGTGCACAGCCTCATCTGTTTGTTTCATTGGTGATTTTGGCTCCCAGCAAAGACACACAACAACATTATTGAGATCAAAATGAAAGAAAAAGAAAGGAAAATAAAGGAGCTTTAATGTTTGAGACATGGGTTTGGATTTAGGAGGGACCATTTTCTTAGCAACTTGAGCTGTGACTGACCAGTGAGTGGTCACCATAAAACCATAATCCTACATAACAACCATCACCAGACAGGCAAGTCAATCCATGCCTTCCATGTATTATTCATTTATTTATTCGTTTCGTACTTTTTTTCCTTCTTTCATTTTTGTGAAGAAACTCTATTTTTGAAATTTCGTGGATGTAAGGGGCACCGCACATCCTTCTGAAATTACAAATTCTCTATTTTTATGCACCTTTGCTATGGACACACATCCTGAAATATGTCGCACAATTCATAATCAATGAATAATACAACTCTGATAATCTTTCTTTTTTTTTTTTTTGGCCAAAATAAAATAAACCTTCTTTTTACTTAGAGGGTCCAGTATTAATAGGCTTCAGGATCAAACCTGCGAGTTTTCTTGCCGCTAGATTACTCGACTGTTGACGTGATATTGACTGATATGGACAAAAATCTCGTTAAAATACAATCTACTTAAATATTTTCATATACGAACACACAGCCACAAATAATCGCCCGAAAAAGTCAAGCTGGTTTCAAATCATTTCCCACACTGATTGTCAGATCGTACAACTTTTCTGCCCGCTGCCAATGAACCACGCGTCAACACAGGTAAACCACTTATATCAGCCAAAGGGGCCAAAATTAGTGAAAACTATGTTCCATCAAAGGTTATGGATGACACTGGTGTCAACGTCATATCAAAGCACGCGTTATTTAAACTATCTATTAAACTTGGTCAAAGCACTAGAATGGTCAGCTAGAACTACAAAATCTTGTATAATAGATACCGAATATGCTTGGAACAATAAAATCATCCTTTCTCACAAAAATGGAAGAATAATTGAGGTGCAACTACGAGAAAGATACAACATTCATATGAAGCCCAAAACAATCCCCTCCCGAGAAGGAGGGTTGAAGAAAAGGGGCAAAGGGATGTCATCATATTTTGGCATTATAGGAACGAAAGTACATATGTCTGATTAATCATAAGGACGAAATTGTAATTGCGAGACAAACAAAAGCTCATCAGGAAACAACTCAGCTAAACTTGATAGCACTAGGAGATTACCACTTCGTCATTACAGTGGGCAGGAGTCTCAAAACTGGAGTCGCTCTCCTAAAACAAAAAACATGCCTAGTAAAAGAAACCCAACACTTTACCACCAACATTCTTTCTCCTAGCCTCTTCGTGATCCATAATACCAGCAGAGGTCGTCAAGACAATATAGCCAAACTGCATTAGTATGATCAAAGATTAGGGCCAACAGGGAAACCGTATGAACACAATATATATTACTTTTTTCCATTTCAAATGATTGGCACTACTTCCAATGCTGTGAGAAAGGGGGAAAGATGCTTCCTGAAAACCTATGGGCGGAAGGCCTGAAGACGAAAAACAAACCCATGCGTAATCGACCGTGTAAAGTTAGCATGGTTATCAAGTAATAGCAAGCTCATGTCATAGCAGCCCAAGAAATACATTGAACCTTACAAGTGAAGAGCCATAAAACTAGAGAATATATGGATCCTGACTTAAAAGTACAAGAACCATAGGCCAGGAGGCCAGAAGACTTTGCTATAACTTAACAGGAAAACCTTACATAAAAGCCATGCTTATAGAGAAAAATGAAGAACAGTTGTCTAGAAAGATTCATAGAAACACAGCAGGACAATTCAGTGAGCTAGACGATATTACCAAATCATCTAAAATAAATGAAATGTACTAAGATGATGCTAAGTGGAGGCATTCATCAGCTATAGACAAATTAAATTATGTTTGAATTAGCTTTTTTGAAAGTGATTTTACTATGTAGGAGGTAAGTATGTGAGAAGAGTCGTCTTGCTGAGAAGCTAATCCAAACGCCCCATAAGAGTCAACAAACAAGAAGATTTCATAGATTTCATATTACAAGCAATTGCACAGCAAGCTTCTTAGCTAACCTGTCTTGAGGGAAGTAGCCTTGCAGTCCAAGGTTCTATCTCCTTGACACCCACATCAAAACGGGGACTAATAACACCACATTTATTTAATCTTCCGTTTAACTCAACAACAATTTTCCCAGCCCTGTGATCATCAACATACTCAAACTCTCCAATGTACCCTAGAAAGTAGCAGAATGAGCGAGATCACCAAAAAATCTTTATAATCAATTCCAAGAATAAGGGAAGTGCTTTAAGAAATAAAATTGAGACATACCATGTTTCTGCATCACCAAAAGAAACTTAATGATCACTTTTGAGGATGGCCTAATCATGACCTGACGTTTCCCCCGTTTCTCAGCATTGTACATACTCTTCAGAGCATCGTTTAGGACACTAACTCTCACCATTGTCACTGTTAAAAAGTTTGGCAAGGGTTAACGATCTCTAAAACAAAGTAATAGACTAATGCAAGACACAAGTGAGCAATAAGTGGAAGAAAATCCATATTTAAAGGTTCAAATTGCTTTTCATGATACAATCTAGACATATTTATACAACCACTTCCATTCTCTTTTATTTCCCTTGATGAAAGAGACACATCATTAATCAACATTACCAGTTTGAATGGAAGCTACAAGTCCATCCATCCATTACTTAAAAAATAGCCATAAGTAACACTAGCTCTTGGAGCAAATCGACACCTAAACATTAGATATTCGATAGTAATTCAAATTATCAAGAATAACAAGTTTGCAAACATAAAACCCAAAAATAGCGCAGACTCAGGTAGCCTCTAACTCATGAATCCGCTCCCCCCTCCAAAAAAAAAATAAATAAATAAATAAAATGACGAGCAGAATACTAAGAGCTGCCTCAATAACCAACTTCGCTTTGTTCAACTATGGCCGAACTTCAAATCCTTCGTGTTATCAAATCATTCCCATAATTTCTAAAAAAAATCGCTTGTTTCATACAGTTGTGTTCCTTGGTCAGGTATACACAAAATCACACCTAACACTTCTTGTTAAAGAACAAATTTTAAACTGTGGTTCCCCAATTCAAGTACACAATATGCAATACAGCATCGATAGGTAATGACAACAATACAAACAACCAGCATGCACCCATTCTCCGTACAACACAAGTAACCCCAGGAGAGCGGATTAACAAGATCATGAATTATAATTTCATACATTTCCCTCAAAGCAGAGGAGAGCGTTCGAAACTGTAAAAGCCGGATCTTACCAACTCGGAACAGAGGATCCTCAGAGAAACGGCGCGAATACGGTCGACGCTTTGGAATCGAGACTGATCACAAGCAAAACGAAGAATACCTATAAAGCGCCTTCATGTCTAACTAGGGTTTTGAAATTTGGGCTCTCCATTAATTGAGCCCAATGAATAAGTTGTGGGCGTTACCTAATTCTCATCTTGGACTTTATTCTGTTTAGGCCCTTTTCATGGAAAATAATAATTATTTGAAAAAAAATTTCTTTCATATTGGCCCAAAAAAATACTATCTCCAGTCTTTAATATAAGAATTTATTTGACTTTTATTTTGACTTTAAATATAAGACCCCAATTTGTACCAAAAAAAATATAAGACCCCAATCTACTTTGTCTTTCGTATTTATCTATTTTTTTCAAAGGTAGTCTTTGTAATAATGATGATTCTAACCAATATACTTAATTATGAAGGATATTTTAGGAAAGACAACATTCATTTTTTACAAATAACTAACTTAACGAACTTTCTTAATCTACTTAAATTAGTCAACTAGTTCTGATATTAAGGACTGGAGGTAGTGTATTTAAAGATTGTCAATTTAATATTTTATTAATAAAAAAGGATTCAAGATGGATTTACATTGAGTGCTCATCAGATCTGGACCGTCCAAATCTGATCTGGATGGTTCAAATTTATTTTTATTTTTATTTTTTTAAAATAATTATTTTAATAGATATAGGATAAAAAATAAAAGTAATCTCTTAACTATCATTCTTTAAAAATATAATTTTTTCTATTTTAAAATAATTATTTAATAATATTAAATCTGGACCGTTGGTCCAGATTGCTCATCAAGTGATGAGCATTGGGTGCTCATCACCTGATGAGCACTGAATGGGGACCCTTTGGATGGAAATAATTCTATCATAAATAAAATAAAAAATTCACATATAATAAAATTGTGTTGTTTTTATAACACCAATTTTAGCAATTTCTTATTTAGAAGACATTGCAATGGATCCAAATATATGAATTGTATCAACCCTTTTACTAACATACCACCATCATTTTATTTGGTAGCTATCTATCTATAAACTGTCGGTCAAACGAATAAAAACAAGGCTAAAAAAAAAAAAAGAACTACATAAAAATTGAAGTTTAACATCTTAGGTCTCACTATGCACTTGTGAGATCAGAGTTAATATTATAGCCGATCATCTTGTAACCTAGTGACATATAAGTTCCTCCATAAATCAAAAGTCAATAGATTCCATCTGTTTGTAACCTTAGGCCCCTTTAAATAAAAGGAAAGAAAACGAATGAATATTATAAAGTGGAAAAATTGCTTACTCTTCTCACCATATATCTGGGAATCCAAATTTCTAGAACTCACTGTACTGAGATTTATTTCAAGAAAAAACACTTGTTTGGTCAATTTCAGGAAATGAAACGAACTTTATTCCTTCAGCATAATCACTTGTTCAAACACTTGCACATAACTGACGATCTTAACTGCCAAACAAATCCGTGAAACCAAGCACCAATACATTTCACCTTTCCATCAAAAAGAAAGAAAGAAAGAAAATCCATTTCATCTTCTAGCAAATTCAACCAGATAGGCATCATCTGGGTTTGAAAACTCCCATCAGAAATGCAGACATACACTGCATCCAAGAATTCGGAGCAATCATTAACACCTGCTCCTTGGATACCTGGAAGAAATTCATTTCCTTATTCATTATCCTTGCATGCTGCTTCGTGCCAGATTTCATAAATAAATATTCAGACTTTGCTTTACTTCAACTTCCCCAAATGTTTCCAGATAAAAAATTATCAAGTTTCTCAGCTTGACATTTACAAAAAACAAACAAATTGATAGGACACTGCCGCCAAAACTCACAACCAGACATAAAGGAGCGTCAAGAGGGAAGAAAACGGGGAAAAACTGGTCTAGAAGAAAATACAAGGGTTCAGAACCGGACGAGACAGAAAAAGTAGAGGAGCAAAAGTAGGTAGTCATGATGAAAAGCTAAGAGAAGCAAGTTGGAAAGTTAGAAGTGTATGTATAAAGAGATGAATGGGGAAGGGCGAAGGCGGAGGAAGAAAAACTTTTCAAGTCAAGCTTTGGTGTAGGGAGCCATTCCTCTCTCGTTATGTTTTTAGAGATTCCGCTCTCTACGATTAAAAGTTTGTTTGTAGCGTGTGTGGATTAATCTCTTTTTCTATTTGTTATCCTCATCTGAAAAAAATAATTATCCCCCTTCTATCAGTGTCATTTGTCTCAGTAGCAGTAACATCAAAGTGGGTTTTCTATAATGCTCTATGTATCAGTGTATTGTATAAAAGCTTTTATTTTTATTTTCGGGAGTAAATCTATACCTTACATGATCAATTTTGGAAGCATTTGTTAGGGGTCCTATCATAAATCAAGTCAAAAATTGACTTTAGTGTTCCTTTAATAGAACCGGTCCACTTGAGAATATCTGCTTCTGGAAATCAAGACAGACAAGCAGGCATCCACCTTCACCGTAAAAATTAGACTTTAAGGAAATGACCCAGCAAACCTGGTTATGGCTATCAATGGAGAAAGTTCAAGGCCTTGATTATTGTGGATGGATGCAAACACAAGGTTAAAGTGTAAGTTGATAAAATGTTCTTTTAAAGGGATTTATGAGATTTCATCAAAGGCCAAAGTGGGTTATTTTATCAAGGCATTAATTACAGATTGAATCTCAAAAAAAGGCTACCATTTTAGAAAAAGAGGAAGAAGCGTTGTAATAGAGACAACATGAGGAGGCAAGATGGAGAATTTAAGACTTTGAGAATTCAAATCACACAACGTCAAAAGTTACATTGACAGAAGCAGCATATTAGATTTTTAAAACAACACCTTAAAATATGATAGATTGATATCTCAAATGAAAACGTCACAAGCTCCAATTACAGAAAGAATTATTGTTCCATTCAACCTAGCAGTGGGATTCAAGTCCAAGTGACACCCCATCATTTATTTCCCGACAACTAGTACTATGCTCTGACACAATGCACATGACTTGCTGCTCCAACAAATCAGCAGCAACATCAAAGGACATCTACATGTATTATTTAGTTACATGCATGTGGATTGAATACTGATATATGTCTTCTACTCTAATGTGCGATATAATACCCATAGAAGATTTGCGCAGAACAGGATTTCTCACTTTAGGTGCTTGGCAAACCAGTTCAACAAGTCCTGATGCGCCTCTTCGGCTGCCGACACTGCTTTAGCATCTTCAGTGTTGTACCTCACAGTCCAACCGTGTGCAACTTGAGGAAATATTTTCACAAAACTAGGAACCTGCACAAAGCAATCATGTTAATCAGGGACATATCAAATATAGATAGCCGTAAAAAATTAAAGGGAAAATTAATCTTTTGGTCCCTATAGTTTTAACTCATTTGTAACTTAGTCCTTGAAGTTTGACTCGCTGCAACTCGGTCCCTATAGTTTTATCTATTTTATAATTTAGTCCTTGTGTTTTTGAAAAATAAAATTATATATATAATAAAAGGAGGGATTAAATTATAAAATGGTTAAAACTATAGGGATCGAGTTGCAGCGAGTCAAACTTCAAGGACTGAGTTACAATTGAGTCAAAACTAGAGGGACTGAGTTGCACCGAGTCAAAGTATAGGGACTGAGTTACAAATGAGTGAAAACTATAAGGACCAAAAGATTAATTTTCCCAAAATTAAAAAACAGTGAAAAAGGATAGCCAAACTGCTTTTATATTTAAATCAAACAAATGCCCTAGGAATTTTCAACTGAATGATGACAATGGTAACAAACTTAAAAACAGACAAAAGATAGCTACGGCAACATTATCTTTCAAAAAAGATAGGAGGTTAGCATCCTCCCATCAACGTGTATGTAATCAATGAAGTGGAGACAGCAATCGGTAATAAGATTTTCCAAAAACCGATAAGAAATCATTTTCTTCCAATATTAGGATGTCAAATTAGACACTTGAATTGATTGCATGATTAGGGTTTTCATGTTCTTGCGCACATGATCATGAAAGTGAGAATTTCCAAAATATGAAGACTGAGTCATAGCACCAAACATACTAAATCCTATTGTCATGACAGTACACAATGCATGACATTGTGCTGCTACACAAATACGATGAATTGATACTAAGGTAATTTCAAGGAGGAAAAAAAGATTGTTTTCTACTGAATTATACGGACAACTTTAATAGTGTTTGACATAAATTAGAATAAACATCAACAGCACAAGTGCACAAGATAAGATGAAAATGTAATCATGTTACCAATTATCCCAGAAACGGGTGAATAGTGAAAAGCATGATACCCAGCAGAATAGGATGATAACGATGGAATATACTCAATAGTTATCAAATAAATCCAACCTGTCATCACACATCCAAAATGGAAAAAGTACAAAACATTTTTGGCTGTAAAATATTTGTATGATTTCAGCAGATTTCATTATATCAACATGAAATTGACGTTGTTGGCAAATTGTCAAGTTATAATCAAATTACATAAATTCTCTTCATAGAGAAACAAAAGAATAGTACTTCACAAAGAGAGGGCAAAAATGGTACCGCAGGCTTAGCAGATAGGATTTGTTCGAACTGTTTAACAAGTTCTGGAGGAGAAATTTTGTCAAGCTCAGCTCCGAGTATAGTAATTGGAATTTCAACACCTGTAAGAGAATTTAATTATCGACTGCTACATCATGTAAATATCAGTAACTGCTTTAAGACCTTCCTTTGCAATTTTTGTTTGATCTCTCAGAAATTAGAGAATGAATCTGAATCGAATAAGTAGCTAAATCCTAATAATATGCTTAAAGCATATACAAAACCAATGATAATCATTGCACCATCAATTAAAACAAAAGAAGTTTAATACAAAATTTCAAAAGAACTGTATACAAAACCAATGTAAATAACTGCCCTCTCAAAGCATATATCACATGAACAAATCTCCATGCAATTTAAAAGACTCTTACGGGATATGCTTAAACTGATCATACAAGTAAAAGCTGCAAGAAAATTCTGATAGTTTTCCT